TTATCTATCTTACCTCCTCAGAGATCCCGAATTTCTTATCTGAAGAAGAATGCAACCACGTTATATCACTGGCGAATGAAAAGGAGTTGGTCAAAAGTGTCGCTAGAGGAGGACTAACAGAGAGCGACACATGGACACATGACCCAAATCGTAAGTGAGTTAAATTAATTACCACACAGGCTGATTTTAATTCAAAATCGAAACTTAGTGGCAAACAGCGAAGGCAAGTTTGGTTTAACTTCTACTCGGTGCTATGCAATAAAAAATCAAATTAAGAAAATTTTTCCGTGAGTAGGACCTTCAGCTTTAGAAACTTGAACACAAAAGTGAGTAAGATAAACTGGTCAAAAGACTATAGTGTCAAACTTTAAAACACAATAAGTCCAGCTCTAAACAGATGATTTAGAATTACTTGATAGATTTCTCCCTGAATTGTAAGCTATTAGGTCCCCGTACCGCTGTTAGCCTCTTAGTTGTACCATTACTAATGGTGATAACAGCAATCACAACAACATCACAAATAATAATAACATAGAGAGCAACTATAACGAAACGATGACGATTACGTTGACGATTATGATTCTGATAATGATAATGACGATGACGATGATAATAATGGAAATTTTAGTGATAATGGAGATATGATAATGATAAAAAAGATAATGATAATGATATGATAGTGATAAGAATAATGTTAATGATAATGATAATACAATGATAATGATAATAATAATAAAATGATAATGATAATGACAATGATATTATAATGATGATAATAATGATAATAAGAATAAAAAAATGATAATAAAATGATAATGATAATAATAATGATAATAAAATGATAATGATAATGGTAATGATAACGATATGATAGTGATAATAATGACGATAATGATAATGATGATGATAATGATAATGAAATTGATTACAAAATTCCCTTTGAAAAGACCAATTTGAATTGCAGTATTTGGAAAAGCGGAGGGCTCGAGAGGACTGTATGAAAATTGGGACTTTGATCAAGATGGAAAAATAACAATTGATGAGGTGAGGACAGTACAGTATTCTATATGTAAAAAGAAACACCCCAGCTTTGTTACCTGTCAGATCAGTAACGTCGATGAATATAAAATAATTTTTTCCCTTCAGATAAAGAGATTTGCGAAGGTAGAAAGGTACCTTTATCTCACGGATGAGGAAGTGAAACGCATGTAAGTTTGCCTCTACTCTAAGGTGAAGTACTACATGGATCGAAAATACATTAAATAGACTGTTTAATAGCTTTGCAATGCTTAAAGCGTTTGTTCGCGGATCCAGCCGAAAAAGATCACGTAGTCGAGGAAGGATTTTATTCGTCGTCTTACGTCAAGCATGGGAAATAGGAAAGAAATTTGATTCCCCCTGAAGGAATAAATCCCCCGGCGTCTTTCATAAAACTTTACTTGTGGACAGGATTCACTCAAATCGAGGAGGTTAGATCCCTTCTCCTTTTTCCCACTCGTACTTAGCTGTATTTCGAGCCACTTTGAGTAATTTTGCGCTGTTTTCTATCAGTTGAACGCTTTCATCAAACTAATGTTCTGTTACTTATTAAAATAATCAAATAACAAAATTCGGAGGGAAAAACTTTTCTTCTCAGATTTAACACCTTCGCACGAACCTGGATAGAATTTGTAAAACACATTTATTAAAAAAAGAAGTTTGCTGTTCACAGATTTCACGACTTGAAGCTACGGGAGTTCGATGATAGTAAGTAAAGACCATAACGTAAGAGATATGATAATCTCAGAAATGTGACATATTTAAGGGTTCTGTTTAAATGGTTTGAACCGATTGCAGTTTCTTGAATGTGCAACTAGAGGACAAAACATATCGCAGAACTATGAGGGGCGACCAGACAATATATATATTCTAGCTCACTTTTATATAGAAATTAAAACAGTAACTTAATAAATCAGTCACTCAGTCTGTCAATCAGTCAATCAATCAAAAAAAACCAATCAATCGTTTCCCTTAAATGCAAGCATAAAAGGGTCTGACAATAGTTCTGCAAATACCTCTTAAGTGATGTGCGCACGTTCATCCAGAAAAGATTTTCATACGGACTCTGATGATGCAGGTGTCATTACTCGTGAGGAGTTTCAAGACATGAACACGCTCCTTGTTGACAGCTACTTGTACGAAATGGGCCGCAGCCATCCGCGTCACCGAGAAAGATTCAGTGAACAAACATGGCTGACAGGGGAACACGAAGACGGAATTCTTCAAGACATCCGCATGAGGTTGGACGATTATAGTTGCATAGACCTATAATTAATGTCAACTAGCACAATTATTATGGAGCCATTACCGCATGTTACTCTCTTATTCTTACTCTTTAGCTCCTGTGTAAGTTTTGATGAAATTTCATCCTGCCCCCGAATTGAACATCCGTGCTGGGGAGGGTCTGGGGCAGGATATACTACGTACAGTGGTCCCGAGGGGATCACCCCGAGTAAAACGGTCACAACTTATTTACCGTTTTTTAGAGGAAATGGCCTGCCTTGACTGTTTAGCTTTTAAATTGACTTGTTTCACTTCGCCTTGATATTATCTTTTTTACTTCATTTTCAGTCTCCTTACTCATAGATGGCTGCAAGAAGGAGCCCGTTACCCAGATGTAGAAATGACAAGCATACCAAAAAAAATGTTTACCAAAATAAGTAAAAAATCTCGAAGACCTTGTAAGAGAAAGGGGGGCTTCGGGTAATTGGCTCCTGAAGCAAACAACCGTGGGAAGCAAAAAAGCGTCATGTAGTTGATTAGAAATCTTTTGAATTTATCTCATAACTTTTCCTTGCAGAGTACAGGCAGTTACAAAGCTGCCCGATGAGATTATCTATGGAAGTGAGTACTTACAGGTAAGGTTAAAACACTTTTTCTCTTGCCGAAACAGAGAGAGAAAAATCAAGAGGAAAATAAAAATAAGAGAAGCTGCTTATGGGAAAAAAATGAACTCCCGCATAAGAAACATGACGATCTTCTGACGAATCACAGCGCCATAGAATATCAAATGTTGCTTAAAGTCAATCTGGACTAACTGCACAGGATTCAATAATTAAATAGTCCTGAAATCAAAATTTTAAAAACGACTCTTTATAAGGTGCTTTTACTCAATTCTCTCACTCCTAGAAGAGACCATAAGATATTTTCTCCTTAATTAATTAATTGTCAATTAGGAATATAATGAGACGAAAGACAAATATCAATGAAGGTAAATCAAATGATGATACTAACCAATAATCAAAACCTTAAATATGAGAAATAGACGAAAAATCAGGAGAAATAAATTTTTGATCTTAGGGGCGAAAGAGTTAAAGCCTAATGTTTCCCCCATTGAAAACAAAGCCTACGCCGAACATATCATTAGACCTTCTTCCGAAACGGGCTTGACAAACTTATTACACTCACCAGGTTGTCCGTTATGGAGTTGATGGACATTACCACGCCCACCTCGACAGCGAAACGCATGAGCATCCCGAGATACCCTGCTGTCATCAGATTCAAGGAGCCGGAATGGATCGTGAAAGGAGATGCAAGTTATGCAGGTATCTAGCAAAGTAATAGAAATAGACGTTTAGGGATTTAGTATATACATGCCTATGAGAGAAAGAGAAACTGGCTCTGTTACTTGAGCTTGAAAAATCACTTTCCTAATATCGATATGGAATTTTGTGGACAATGGAACTAGAGAACATGCATTTACTACACCCAGAATATGTGTTGAACTTTTAGATTCGAGAGCGATATGCGATTAGCTGCTTACTAATTATACATTAACCATTTTCCAGATATGTTACGATCCTCTATTTCTTAAATGAACCTCCCGAGGGAGGTGAAACGGCTTTCCCGATGGCGGACAACGCAACGTTTATTAAAGAGGTCAGTTAAACTTTTCTTTTCTTTTCTTTTGAAACTAATTCGGATTTGACAAAACAACAACTGCAGTTAAAAATCAACTGGCAATTGAAACACTTCGAGCAAAACTTTTGGCTAACAGGCTGACTGGTGCAAATAAGAATTATATTAATCAAGGCACTCGGTAATATCAATGGAATTGTGAGTAAAATTTGGTATCATTCAATTTTATCAACTTATTGGAACGCTATCAGGGCAAGGAAGAGAAATGAAAGTATCCGGTGCTAGAACTAGGCCCAGGGTATGTCCGAACAAGCACTGTTAAATTTCCACCTTTCTCTTCCCTAGAATAATCATCCAACCGATAAGCATTTATGTCACACCAAAAATCTGGTGTTAAGATAGATATTGATAACCCATTCAATTAATGTTGTTTTCAGAATTTCGCGTCGTTACGTTCCAAGGAAGATTTCTACAATTTAAGTGAGTTTTGCCACAAGTCAAATCTGGTGGTGACTCCTAAAAAAGGAACTGCTATCTTGTGGTACAACCACGAGATGGACCCAAACAGTGGCTGGCTGGGGAGAATGGACGAGTATTCAATTCACGGAGGATGCGCAGTCAAAAGGGGGATAAAATGGATAGCGAACAACTGGATCACCGCCCCATATAAGAAGCTTGCTCATGTCCCAAGTCAGTACATACTGGGTCCGGATATTTACTTCAGTGAAGATTAAAAAAAGATGATTTCGCTCGGATAAATGAGGAACACAAGCCAGTAGTCAGTGTTACTGATCGATAAAGCGTAGGTGCAATATGCACACGAGCCTCGTAAACAAGACTCTTTCCGCTAAACAGAGAGGAAGAACGCTAAAATTTCTTCAAAATCGTAAAGAGTTTCTGCTGAGTTATCTGGTGGTATACATTGTAATATTGGTAATGAAGAAGCAAGCATGATCGTTCTACTACAATTTCTGCGGGGAAATCATCAGCAGCGACAGCGTTGCATCGAAATAGACAGAGGTACCGACTTCTACGCAATCTGTGTGGTACATTCTGTTAAGACTGAAATGAGTTATTGATGCAATAAAATAGACACATTATGCTGAACTTTAACGTTTTATTGTAATTTTACTTCTTATTTGTTTCTTACGTAATGTAGTATAGATGAACACTACTCTCATTTTTAGGAAGATAAAATTCAGTGAAAATTGGCCCAGCCAACCGTTGATTCTCATCACTTCCATCAAATGGAAATGGAGAAAGGGAAACGTTTCTTTAGTTACGCCGGATAGACTTTTAGAATAAAAAAGAAAATTACGTAATGAGTAATTATTTTTATACCTGTCTGTATACGGTATTATGCAACTGTGACCCAGCTGTAGGGGTGAAATATTCCATAACAGGGATTGTAACTACGAATTATCTATTCAATTAACTTAAACGGTCGTACCAACGAATTTCAGGCCGCCAGGAGGTATGAACTCAATAGTTTTTCTTTGTTTTTCAGTGTCCTTTCCATTATTCACTGTCTTTCTTTTCTTCAGTTTTTGAGGCCATATTATGCATTCGTCAGAGCTGTAATCTTGTATCTTCATAAATTGTAAACCGCACTACGTATACCACAAACGTATCATCGCTTTCACTGTCCACCGTAAACCGCATCGTCGACATAAACCAAGCTTAAGTAATATACAATTTACTTGTATTTCGATTTTGACGTTGGCTTCCGTCGTATTGCACCCGAGGAAATCGAACAAAGATACCTTTAAGTAACCAGATCAAAGTATGTAAACCAAAAGGTTTCTTCATTGCAAGTGACGTATACTTGATTTATTAAATTTCACCTCGGAATATCGCATCTCGAAAGTTTTGATTGGTTCACTCAACTCTGGTTATCACCTCATATTCCGAGTTGCCTTTTGTGGAACTGCTGTAACTGTTGCGAAGCTCCAAAAACCCATTATTTCAGGATTTAAAGAAATTCAAGAAAGCAATTATTCCATTCGCACTTGTTGAATACGAGATTGGTGGCAGCCAACTCAGCGTTCACCATCTCATATCCAACGTGTGCTCCTGGAAAAATGTCAAATAAACGAGGGTAATAAAAAAAAATCACTTAAACAGTCATGACCATGAGCGGTCCTTTAGACGTTCTGTGAACCATATTTAAAAAATCACCCCTTTTTTCTCTAACCTGAGAAAGAAAATAAAGGGAGACTAAATTAAGGCATAGAGCTAAACACTTCAAAATCTAATTTAAAAAAGGAGTCAGTCTCTCTGCTGATAACGTTTACAACTCTATATAACATCAAACTTTCTGAGCCAGGAACTAGGAATGTGAGCTCCATCTTTGTAAGGTGCAGTTATCCATAGATTAGCGATCCATTTCTCTCCCCTTTTTATGCCACAACCTCCGTGCAAACTAAAATCATCTCTTGCTCCCATCCAGCCGCTCTCATCGTCTCGTAAGTGATTGTACCACATGATAGCTGTTCCTTTTCGTGGACTGATCGCCAGACCTTGGTGGCAGTTATGGCTAAGATTGAAGTAGTCCAAATCACCACGACTTGAAGTCAGATACTAAATAGAATTGAAAACAAAACTCATGTTACTCCTTCGTAGTTGATTGCGTAATCGGATCGTACATCTAATGGTAGCCCTGAAAATTATTGTTTTCTATAGGAGTGACTGACTTTGCAACTTCTTTGATGCTCTTAAAAGATAACAACCTTTAATTGATGTGTTTTTTATTGATTTATGGCCACTAGAATGTTGTCGCGGGGGAATTTGTATTTTTATCGCATTTCACTCTAAAAGGCTCACGCCCCGCGAGAATCTTACCTCCATGCTAAGGGTGACATTGTCGGCCATAGGGAAAGCAGTTTCTCCTCCTTCCTCGACATCGTTGAGATAAAACAGGATTGTTACATATCTGATCAAGGAAACAAGAACAAACAAAAAGCGGATTGATGAAAGGTGACAACTGACCTTATAAAGTATCAATTTTGTTTGAACATGATGTAATTCCATCTGAAATGTCGCTGCTAAAACGTGATTTTATCTAATTATGTAACACAAAGTTCTCGATGATGTCCCGTTCTTAGAAGTGAAATTAAAGTAGTTGGCTCAGTTAAGTTTGCGCGCAATATTTTTTAAAAAATTGTTATTATCACTAATCAAAGCAAAGCTGACTAAGAAAACGCAAAAAAGACGATTTGATTATTAGTCATCACCATTTAACTGAACTTTTGCATATGCTCACCTACAGAGCCTACAGCCTTCATCTTTATTAAAGGCTTGCACCACATCTTCATAAAGTTGGCAGCACCGTTTGTCAGTTCTTTTGTCTGTCTCCGAGTCAAAGTGGGCGTGGTAATGACCATGTTTTCCATAACGGACGATCTGTTGAAAATATGAACCCTTTTCATTGTAGTCGAAAACGTTTTTTTCTGCCCTCACACTACGAAGAAGGAAGTTGAAAATCAAAAAGAGAAGTTTAAAACAGAGTTTTGTTTCATGAAAGATGTTCACTTCACAAACTTCACACTCTAATTATTTTTTCATATTTAACATACGAAATATTCTTTTGACCCGCAAATAGCAGATGCTAATCAAGGCAGGTCAATTTCTTATTTAACTAAATAAAATTTAACTTAATTAAATTATATTGGATATAATACAGAAATTAATAAATAATACATAAAAAGACATGTAAAAAGCTACACAATGAAAAGGGAAATGAAACTCATTCGTTGTAAAAGAGAAAACGTCCTTAAGTTTCTACTTGTAGTAAAATTTTGTAGAACTGGATGAATTTGTTTCAGTTTGCAGTGTTTGAATTTTTTCCTCTAGTCTCCAAGAACTTCTGAAATCCCAATGAGGAATCGATCCTGGATTCGGCGCTCTGATGCTCTGCCATTGAGCTACAGAAAACACTAAAATGAACCAGACCTCTACCAGCTCCTTATGTACAAGCCTCCAGAGTACTGCCAAAATCGGCAACGTTGAGCGTTATACGAGAAAACAGACGAGAAAGATGATGAATTTGGAGCTTTGTCATGAAATAAAACGAACCCAGAAATCTGAGTTTTTTCTTCTCTTTTTTTTTTTTTACCATTACCGTGAGAGACCGAGATACTTTCCAAATGTCAAAAGATATCCTTTGACTAGAATTATAAGAAAAAAATTAAGGCCTACGATATCCTCTGGTTAAAAAAATTGTTTATTTGACAGTTTGTTACCTGAATTCTCTCACTGCCGTAGATGATTTCTCGGGAGAGTCTGGTGAGTTCTATAACTCTGAAGAACAGATGGTAGATAATATATGATACATGACATGGTAGATGATACATGACAGCAATCAATTTTAACTAAATTTCTTCAGCCGTATGTTCGAATAGCTAGGAAACTATGATTGGTACAACTCGTTTTTAAGGCATACTGTAGAAAGCAGTAGGAGATCTTTGACTGCACGTGATTCTTCTATCAGACCTGTAAAATTGGTAGTTTATAAAAAATTTACAAATTAGCATGATCCAAAGCCAATGTGGAAGACGCCTGGTTTGGACTATCTATTAGGAGCACTGATCTGCCACGCTCAAGTGAAAACGTTACCTTTCTATCACTTTGTTTAAAACTGGATCGCCCAAAGATCTCTGATTGACCCAAGTCTGATCACTGTAACGTGGCCTGTGAAGTGGGTGAGACATAGACATTGCTGACATCAAATCCGTTAACCCCATGGAATTCATTGTTTTGAATTCATCAATTGTAGCAAATCCTGAGAGAAAAGGTGATACTTTTACTCAGTGATCGTGCGAATAATCAAGGAGCAACAAAAGCAAAGAAGATCTCCATGGTATCAACGAGCGCTTTTCATTCAACTTATTTATTCTTGTTTTCTCGTCACCATATTCCCACCAATTTCATATAAACACACACACAACCCATAATTCCTTCAATCGCTCTGGTGAAGGGCTAACGCTCAAAACTTCAGCCTTGAAACTCTTTACGGTGGCCAATTTACGTTTTCAACTCAATTGCTAACATTAAAATTACCTAAAAGAAAAGAAGATTAGATAAGTGTTTACCGTGGGTCGATAAGAGTCGCTGTGTATCACTTGCGCCTAAAAATTACTCCATGTTGGTCTCAAGCTCGCTTGACTGTTTCCAATCCATTTCTTCTTTTTATTAACGAATATTCTTTGACGCACTTAAATATACTTCATCCCTATTTGAATTTTATCTTTATTTCAATGTTAATTCCTCAAAACATAACGCACTAAATGGAGAAATGACTGAAATCATTTTAATCATAAAGATAATCAGTCAAGGTGCCTAGTATAAGAAAGTTATTTACCATCGTCTAATTCCGTGATATTCACATTATGAAGCCTGTAAACAGAACAAACTCGGCTTAGGGACCGGTCGTTATTTATCACGGAAA